GTGGGGGGTGGAGGGAGGGAGAGAGCAGTTGCAGCACAGCACTGAGGAGTTTATGGTGTTTGTGGGGAGGGAGGGAGGGAGGATTGGTTTGGGATTGGAGGGGGGTGGGCCAGGCTGCCTTCACCCCTCTTTTTCGGTGGGATTTGCTTTTGGGCAGTCTTCTCCCATCCAGTGTTTCTGTGGGGCAGGGTTGGAGGGTTGTGGGGGATGGATTATGTGGATTGTGTGTGGGCTAGGGATGTACTGCTTGTCGGGTGCTCCCCCCTCGCCTTCCTCCCTCTTTTTTCCTCCTTTTCTGAGGCTTGTGTTTGCAGCTCTTTTTTTTGGGGGGGGAGTCTGTGTTCTGTCCCTTTTTCTGTCGCTCTAGCTGGAGGCCAGGGGAAGTGATGGTTTTGATTGGTGGAGTGCATGGAGGGTCCTTTGTCATTTGGTGCTGCGATGGGTGGAGGAGGTGGGGGTGGAGCAGAGTGTTGCGCCTGGTGGTGGAGGTGGCGCTGGGGTGTCTCTTGTGCATTGGGCTCCTCTTTTCTCTGGTGGCGGGGAGGTGGAGGGTGTTGGGAGACCCAGCAGGTTCTTGCAGCGCTCATGGGGGTAGGGTGACGGAGGGTGATTGAGTGTCCATTTGTCCCTTTTTGTTCCTTGGGGAGTTTTGTTGTGTCGCAGGCGGGGGTCAGGAGGAGGGGGGAAGAGATGAGCATTGACTTGGCAGTGTGGGTTGCAGGGGGGATGGGGAATGGAGGGGGTACTCTTGGGGGACAGGCACAATATGCCCCTCTGACACGCCCACCCATGAGTGCAGGGGTGCCCCACCCCAACCGGTCCGCAAATAGAGCCCCCACCCTGGAACCAGTCTGAAAAATGATGGGCACCACTGCTTTAGAGGACCGCGAGCATGACAGGCCCAGCGCATGAGCAGACTTCCTGCTCCCTCCGTGCCAAATGTGGTGTTGATCCAAGGGCCTGTTTCAGACTTCTAATATCTTGTTTGCCCCCACCCATCTTTTGATTTTGCTTGTAGAAACCCTGCATCTCGTCCAATGGAACATATATGGCATGATTATTGTTGTGTCATAATGTAAAACTTGGAGTAGCAAAGATCTCGAGTAGACATTGCCTTGTTTTCTTTCTGTTCTGCTAAAGGACCCCAGATACACAACAGTTAAGATTTGGGTTAGTTGATATTTAGTCCCGTGCGACAATTAATATGGTGGCATCAGGCCCTTTCGTATCAGGTTTCTTGGAACCCTAATAAATGTGCCTCCCCTGTTCACCCTTTCCAGGAGGTCAAAGGCATCCAGTGAGCTTGCTGCCCTTTCTGGTTTCTTTTATAGCCACTCTATATAGAAGATTTATCAACCTTTCAATTGCACCTGACCTTGGTTTGCCTGGCAAAGACCTCGTGATCTATGTGGATAGAATTTGTTGCAAATCTATTCAAAATGGAAGAGGCTTTTTTTTACAATCCTGATGACAACCGAGGTGTGAAGCCTGGGACCTCCTCTTGGATGAGTCTCAAAGTCCGGATGTCCAGGATTCTGCAGTGGCCAGGAGTGCCTTTGCACCCTTAAAACGAGGGCACCAGCGTCGCCTCCTCCTGGCGGGGTCCCGTTTGGCCACGTAGACACATGCCTTAGTCACATCCAGGCAGAATGACTCTAATGCCATCTTTGTTATAGCAGCACATATGGATTTAAAGTGTTGTACCACCCTGCTCTGAGTGTGTTCTGGTGTTGCACTCTATGTGGAGCTTCCTCTGGAAAGTGTCCGGAAACTTCTGCAGGTGCAGAATGCAACAAACAAAACAACCACAGAAACCCTGTTATGGCTCCAGAGGCTATTCATCCATTTCCCGGCAGAATTAAAAATGCTGTACCTTCCTGCTTTGAATGTGTTCTGGTGTTGTTTATATTTTTTCCCTTGTAATCCTTTTATCCTTTTTTGTATTGTATACTCACAGTTCTTAGCTTTAAGTACATTTTTAAAATAATGTAAGACATGCTGAGTCCTTTTTAAGGAGAAAGGCAGCACAAATCATATTTTATATCAACAACTTTTCTAAAATGCTTGGTTTATATTTGGAAGGATTCCCTTCCAGTGGCCAGTTCTGATCATGGCATCATAGAAAGAGGTACCGGATATGCCGCCGTACTAGGCGACGGGCCGTATTAGACGACCCCCCAAAATGCGGCGCTGGGAAGAGGCTTGGGGTGGTGGTGGCAGGAGGCCAAGGAGGAGGAAGAGGGAAAGGTGACAGGTGAGGGAGCGAGTGCTGTTTCCCTCTCTCCATCTGCCTGCCTGCCCGCCTGCGTTCCTCCCCGGCCAGTGCGGCCCCACATCACTCTCTCGGCGGCAGCGGTGGCTCCTTCCTGGCACCCGGCGTACAAGACAGGTCCCCCACTTGGAGGCATGTTTTGGGGGGCCGAAAAGTCATCTTGTACGCCGGCATATACGGTATTTCAGGGATTTTTCTTTTAATATTTTTAATAATTTCAGAGGGCAAATAAGTGAAACAGTGGATAACAATCCCACTGATAAGAGGGTCCTGCTTTATATTGAACAATATAAAATTTTTCTCTAAACAACTATCTATACTATTAATATTCTATTTATGTGAAAAATATTAAGAGAATATTAAGTACTCATACTGGAACCTTATAAAACAGAATTTTCTGTATCATCACCCCCAACTTTGCCCCATTCCCTCCCTCTTCCTCCTCTACCTACCACCCATCCCCGCTTCCCTTGCCAACCTCCTTTCCCTCCTCCCCCACCAAAAGCAGTGAGGTGACCAAGCCTCCGGCTCCTACAGCTTGGCTGTTCCATGTGGGTTATGCCGGGGAGGCCAAAAGCAATGCTTCTCAGGAAAGGACCCTCCCCACTCTCATGACCTTCCTTACTGCACATGGATATAAATGAATAAGCATGTTTGTTATTTCATAAACGGAAAGCCTGGCACTTCAAGGCAGCTGAAGATCTTCCCATGTTCCATACATTATGAGGCTTCTCACTTGGTGTGGGTCCTTTGATGTGAATGTATATTGTCATATTTTATATCAACAACTTTTCTAACGTGCTTGGTATTTCAGGGAGTTTTCTTTTAATAGTTTTAATATTTCCTGACAGCAGATAAGTGAAACGGTGGATAACAATCCCACTGATGTGAGGGTCCTACTTTATATTGAACGACGTAACATTTTCCTAAAACATCTATGTATACTACTAATATCCTTTTCATGAGAAAAATATTAAGTACTCATACTGTAACCTTATAAAACAGGATTTTCTCTATAATCTCCCCCAATTTTGCCCCCTTCCCTCCCTCTCCCCGCCTCCTCTACCTACCACCCTTCCCCCCACCAAAAGTAGTGAGGTGATATAGCTTCTGGATTCTACGATTGGGCTGTTCTACATGGGTTACGCCAGGGAGGCCAAAAGCAATGCTTCTCAGGAAAGGACCCTCCCCACTCTCATGACCTTCCTTACTGCACATGGACATAAATGAATAAGCATGTTTGTTATTTCATAACAGAGAAGCCCTGCAGTTCAAGGCAGCTGAAGGTCTTCCCATGTTCCATGCATTTATGAGGCTTCTCACTTGGTGTGGGTCCTTTGATGTGAATGTAGACCGTCACTCCGGCAGAAGCTCTTTCCACATTCCATGCACCTAAACGGTTTCTCTCCTGTGTGGATCCTTTGATGTATTCGTAGACCTCCACTCTGACGGAAGCTCGTCCCACATTCTAGGCATTTAAAGGGTTTCTCCCCAGTGTGGATTCTTTGATGTCTACTCAAGTGACTGCTCTCACTGAAGCTCTTCCCACATTCCTCACACGTAAAGGGTTTCTCCCCTGTGTGGATCCTTTGGTGTGCACGTAGACCTCCACTCTGACAGAAGCTCGTCCCACATTCTAGGCATTCAAAGGGCTTCTCCCCAGTGTGAGTCCTTTGATGTAAATTAAAATGACTGCTCTTATTGAAGCTCTTTCCACATTCCATGCACTTAAATGGTTTCTCCCCTGTATGGATTCTTTGATGGTCTCTGTATGATCCTCTGTCGCGGAAACTCTTTCCACATTCCATGCATTTATATGGTTTCTCTCCAGTGTGGTTTCTTTTATGTGTATTCAGGTAATCCCTCTGACTGAAGCTCTTCCCACATTCCTCACACGTAAAGGGTTTCTCCCCTGTGTGGATCCTTTGGTGGGCACGTAGACCTCCACTCTGACAGAAGCTCATCCCACATTCCAGGCATTTAAAGGGTTTCTCCCCAGTGTGAGTCCTTAGATGTAAATTAAAGCTATAGCTCCGATTGAAGCTCTTTCCACATTCCATGCACTTAAATGGTTTCTCCCCTGTATGGATTCTTTGGTGGTCTCTATATGATCTTCTGTTGCTGAAACTCTTTCCACATTCCATGCATTTATATGGTTTCTCCCCAGTGTGGATCCTTTGATGTGAACTGAGGCTACTGCTGAAACTGAAGCTTTTCTCACATTCCTCGCATGTAAAGGGTTTCTCCCCTGTGTGGATTCTTTTATGTGTATTCAGGTAACCCTTCTGACTGAAGCTCTTCCCACATTCCTCACACATAAAGGGTTTCTCCCCTGTGTGGATTCTTTTATGTGTATTCAGGTAACCCTTCTGAATGAAGCTCTTCCCACATTCCTCACACATAAAGGGTTTCTCCCCTGTGTGGATCCTTTGATGTAAATTAAAACTATTGCTCTGATTGAAGCTCTTTCCACACTCCATGCACTTAATTGGTTTCTCCCCTGTATGGATTCTTTGATGGTTTCTAGATGATCCACTGACACTGAAGCTCTTGCCTCATTCAACACATTTGTATGGTTACTGGCCAGTGTGGATCCTCTGGTGTGAATTTAAGTGTCCACTCTTTCCACATTCCAATCATTTATATGGTTTCTCCCCTGTTTTGGTCTCTCCCCTGTTTCGGAGACAAAAGGAAGAAAGGAATCTTATTGCTAGGCCAGAAAAGAAATGGAAGACATTGGAGATTATACCAAGTTTCCTCATCCCCAAGGGTCCTTCCTTCCTTCCTTCCTTCCTTCCTTCTTTGTACCCTCTGCTGAACTCTGGATTTCCGTCAGAATTTGACACCCTTTTCCAAGCTAAACTCTTTGATACTTGGACTGAATCCTAATTCCCTGATGGACATAATGGAACTCCAAGACAGCAGAAGCTCGTGGTAAGTGACTCAACAGATACTTAATCCCGTGGATATGGGAGTGCTCCTGTGATCTTTTAACTTGTTTAGTCTTCTTCTCTCCAGCTGCAATGGTTACTTACCCTATCCGTTTTCTGACTTTGTACCTTACTGACATGACAAAGGAATTCTCAAAGACTTCTATACAACTCTACATGCTATCTGTGTACCCAGTTTATCACTCTCACCCAGTAGATCAGCTAAGGTATGTGGTTTATGGTCATTAGATATTTCAAATGTAAACAACTGTGTTTTAAGTGTTTTACATCAAAACATGGAGCTTCTCCCCACGTTCGACCCACTGATCTCACAGAGGAGGCTCATGAAGGTTTAATTGAGCTGAAATGCCTTGGTCTGCATGGGGGAAGGAAGGCTTCAGCAGATAAATTCTTAAGATAAATTCTTTCCCATAGGTCCCTACCAAGTGCTAATTTTTTTGGGGGGGTTGATGCATTTCCTCTCCTCTGTGAGGGTCCCACAAGGAGGACTGGATTGAGGCATACCAGCCACATCAGGTACAAGGGCCTGACTAACCAGTCACAGAATTTAGTTTGGTGGACACCAGGATGGCCTCTGCACAAACAGGTGCGCCAGCTAGACTTGTTCCTGGAGGGGTTGGATATCTGGCCACATCAGCTAATGTTTGCCTTAGTTACAACCCAGCTGGATTACTGTCATGCATTCTAGGGAGGGTGGATTCTGGAAAGTGTTTCAAAACTTCAGTGGGTTCAAAACCCTTCAGAGCCATTGACCTTGCAAAAGACCTGCCTGGAGAGGGATGTCTCTTCTACCTACTGGGGCTGATGCAGAGGGTGGTGTCAAGGAAAATTACAGGCCTGAGCAGAATAAAGTGTATTAATGAGAAGCCATAATGATCAGGTGTGTTAAAACTGAGTCAGGATGACTCAGCAGTGCTGATGCAACCCAGGGAAGATGCAACCTATAATCTGATTGGTCCTGTATATGTATATAGGTGTGAGTTGTACAGTCAGTTGTATCTTCCTGCTTGAAGATCACTTCTACATGTTATGCTGCCAGAATGCTGTAAATACACGTTTATTTATTTATTTATTTATTTATTTATTTATTTATTTGATTTCTATCCCGCCTATCTGGTCTTATTCAACCACTCTGGGTTGCTGAAGGAAATGCTGCTGGACTGTGCGTGAGTTATTTCTGGAACTGCCTGGACTGCGAATTAGTCAGCTAAAACACCATTTTTCATCAACAGAAAGTTATGGGCCCAGCGCTGCAACCTGCGATACCTGCATTGCATCAAGGAAGCCGGTGAGTACCAGTGGGTACCAGAGAGGCAATAAGGAGTCCAGGGAAGTGAGAGTTCTGCCATTTAGAGCCCAGCAGGGAAAGAAAAATGGAGGACCAAGAGAAAAGCAGCATGCAGGCATTTGGCAGTATGGGAGGTTTTCCTGTAACCAGACTGAATGAAAATAATTACCAGACATGGTCAGTGAAAGCTGAGCTGTTTTTGAGAAGGGAGGAATTGTGGCAAATAGTAAACAATCTCCCTGCTGTCCTAGGTAAGGAGGAACAAAGGAAAAATGAAAAGGCTTTGTCTACAATAATTCTTTGCCTGGAAGACAGCCAACTGACTCATGTAAGTGGACTGATTTCAGCTAAAGAATGTTGGGACACGCTGAAATGAATTTATGTTTGTGATTCAGCAGGGAGTAAAGTATCCTTAACCAGAAAGCTGTATAAAGCTAAACTAGAAGAAGGTGAAAGCATGTCCCATAACTTACAAAAGATGAGGAACCTGTTTAATGAGCTCCAACAGAGAAACATGGAATTTACAGAGTCGCATAAGGCATATATTATTTTGAGCAGTCTTCCGGAGAGTTATGACATGCTAGTCACAAGCCTTGAATCTATGCCAGAAAGAGATTTAACTCTTCGGTATATCACGAGCAGGCTTCTTGAGGAGTCAAGAAAATGAAGTGAAAGGTTAGAAGATAAAATGAGACATGACAGCCCACATCAGAGAAAACATGACAGCCCACAGCAAACATGACAGCCCACAGTGAAGGAGAACTGTTTCCAGGAGGGGAGAGCAAGAAAAGAAAGCATTTGCAGTGAAACGTTGCTTCATCTGTAACTCTCAGAGGCATCTTCAGCAGGATTGTTCACAAGCCTCCAGCAGGAGAAATAAAAATGAGAAAAAAGGGAGTATTTTTCTTGTGCAGGCAGCTGCTGATAAGACCAAGGTCACCACCTGGATTCTGGACAGCGGAGCTGTTTGCCATTTAACTAATGATAGGAAGTTGTTTTCTTTTCTAGAAGCTTCAGAACACAGGTTCGTGACCTTGGCAAATGGAGAAAGATCTCCTGTGGCTGGAGAAGGGACGATATTTATACCAGGTTTGAGAGAACAGCTTAAAAATGTTCTGCTAGTTCCAAAACTGGACTGTAACATACTTAGCGTCTCTAAGCTTGATAAAGAAGGCTATACAGTGATGTTTGCTGACAGCACCTGTACAATTAAGAAAGAAAATGAGGTTTGTGCCACAGCAAAACTAGAAAACAATTTATACGTACTAAAAGAGAACAAAGTGGCACAGAATATGATTAGGAACATGCCCTTTCATAATCAATGTGCCCACCTGTTGCGTAGAAGGCTGGGGCATGCAAATTTCAGAGTGGTACAGAAAATGGAAAGTTTTGCTAAGGGTGTGAAAGTAAAATCATGTAAAAACTACCTGGACTGTAATATTTGTAAATGTGCAAAATCGAAAATCAGTCCAAAGCCAAGGGAACCTACTAATCAAACACAGAGGGCATTTCAGCTGGTTCATGCAAACACAATTGGACCTTTTGTGCCATCTATGGGTAGAGCAAAATATGTGCTAGTCATTGTAGATGACTATATAAGGTACTCTTTTTGCTACTTGATGAAAAACAAATCAGAAGTGTTCAATCATTTCAGAAATTGGTTAGCCTATGTGGAAAAATGTTTTGATAAAAAAGTGGCACAAATTCAGAAAGACAGAGGGTCTGAATTTATGTCAGAAAGGTTTCAAACTTGGCTGAGAAACACTGGGATTTTTCATAGGAAGACCAGCCCATATTCTCCTTTTCAAATTGGGGTTGCAAAGTGTAGGAATGGAGTCCGACAGACAATGAAGGATGCTCTATTAGCTGATGCTGGTATGAGCCACGCCTAATGGGGAGGAGCTGTGGTTACTTCTTGCTATATTAACAGAATTTACTCTTCTGCTATAGAGCAAACCCCATACTATATGCTCTATGGGAGGGAGCCTTCCATACAGCATATGAGAGTTTTTGGTTGCAGTGCTTGGGTACATGTACCAAAGGAAACCAGAAGAAAAGGAAAAACAAAAGCAAAGAAAATGAGGTTTGGGGGCTATGAAAGAGGGTCAAAGGCATATTGTTTCCTGGATGGAAACAACAATGTCGTAATTTCCAGATCTGCAAATTTTTGTGAACATGAGAACTGGGATAAGGTGCATGCAAACTCTCAAGTGTACATTCCCTTCACATAAAGACAGAAAACTCAGAGAAATCAAGTAGAGCCAAAGGAAGAGGCTGAAGAAAGCACCAGTCACAGCACCTCAGAAGAAGAGGATGATGGAGAGTGTTGTCAGGCAGAAAGTGAGCCTGTAGTTAAGGAAGAAAGACAAATCCCAAGAAGGTCAGAAAGGGCTAATAAGGGAATCCCTCCAGAAAGGTTTGGTGTGGGAGAAATAAGAGTGTGTCACATATACCAAGAGTCCAAGAATTTTGAGGAGGTGATGCTTCTTCCTGAAATAGAAAGAAAGAAATGGGAAGAGGCCATGAAAGATGAACTGAAGTCAATGGATGAACACGAGAGGTTCACTGAAACAAGGTTGCCACCAGGGCAAAAGGTAATAGGTAGTAAGTGGGTTTACAAGAGAAAATTGCAAAACAATGGAAATTACAGGTACAAAGCAAGATTGGTGGCTCAGCGGTACACACAGAAGAAAAACGTACATTACGATGAAGTTTTTTCGCCCACAGTGAAAACTGAAATACATGGCTCAGGCACCTGGTTTTGAAAACTCCAAACCAGGAATGGTGTACAAATTAAACAAAGCAACTTATGGCCTACGACAGTCAGCGAGAAATTGGAATCAGTGTCTACATACAGCTTTGGAGAAATTGAAATACAGGAATAGTTTGGCAGATCCATGTTTGTATGTTAAAGAATATGGAAAAGAACTAAACATTTTGCTGGCTTATGTAGATGACATTTGCGTTATGTCTAAAGAAATTGAAAAAGGAATTCAAATTGAAGAACCTAGGCCCAATACAAAATTATTTGAGGGTGCAAATTCAGAAACAAGACAAAAGTTATGTGTTAGGTCAGAAAGTGAAAATAGAACAAATGTTGGTAAAATATAACATGCTAGAATGTAAAAGTGTACAAACTCCAATGATAGTGGACTTTCAAAAGTCAGAAACTGAGAACAAAGAGTTTGAAAATCAGGAAATATATCAG